AGGAGCCAGTGGCCTGAGGGAGGGGCCATGGGTGGTTGGCCACCAGCTCTGCCCGATTGGAGGGGAGGGCTAATCAGAGGCAGAGCTGGCTGGGAGGAGGGGCTGTGGGCCCATCAGGGTGGCGGGGGCCCATCCAGGGTGGGCTGGATGGGGAAAGGGCTGCAGGAGGTTGGCTGGTGGCTCCTCCCCCTATTGGGCAGTCCAGGAGAAGGGGCTGCTGGCCGATCAGGGTGGGGTGGGTGATCAAAGGCAGGCTGGCCTGAGGGAAGGGCTGCAGGGGTGTTGGCCACCATCAAGCCATCTATTGGGGTGGGAGAGGCTGATCAGGGACTGGGCCCACTGGGGGAAGGAGCCACTGGAGTTTGGTCACTGGCCCCACCCCTCAATCAGGTGGGTTCACTGGCCGCAGTGGGCATCATAGCCACCAGTTGTTAGGGTCAATACATTATGGTCGCTGGCTTTTTATATATATGCTAGAGGCCCAGTGCATGAAATTTGTGCATGGGGGGTTGCCCCTCAGCCTAGTCTGAACACTCTCCAATCTGGGACCCCTAGGGGGATGTCTGACTGCCAGTGTAGGCCTGATCCCACAGGCCTGATTGCCCCAACTGCCCTCCCCTGCTGGCCTGATCACCCCCATCTGCCCTCCCCTGCCATGACCCGCCTCCTCCACCAGGCCCCACCTCCACTGTGCATGCAGCCATCTTATAATGGCCATCTTATGATGATAGGGTGTGATGTGTGACAACCTCCTAGGCTACTATTAGTATAGATAGGTAGTTCTGAAGGTCCTAAGTCCAAAATGAAGCTACAGGACTAAAATCAAGATGTCAGCAGGACTGGTTCCTTCTGGAAGCTCTAGGGCAGAATGTTTCCTTGCCTTGTCAGCTTCTAAAGGTTGTCTGCATTCCTTGATTCATGGCCTCTTCATCTTCAAAGCCAACATTTAAAAAAAATAATTGCTGAAAGTATTACATATGTTCCCTTCCCGAACCCCCCTCCCCCACTGAATCCTTCCAGCCTTCCCCCATTTCCTTTTCCCCCTCCCCACCCCAGGCCTTTAGTACCCTATTGTCTGGGTCCATGGGTTATGCATTCAAGGTCTTTTGATTACCTCCCACAACCCACCCCCCCTGCCTACCTGCTAAGATTCCACACTTTGTTCCATGCTTCCATATCTCTGGATCCACTCCATTCATCAGTTTATTTTGTTATAGATTCCACATATGAGTGTGACCATCTGATACTGGTCTTTCTCTGACTTATTTCACCTAGCATGATACTCTTCAGGTCTCTTCATACTGTCTCCATGGGTAAGAGATTCTTCCTTTTTATAGCTGTACAGTGTTCCATAGTATAAATTTTCCACAGCTTTTTTATCCACTCATCCACTGATGGGCACTTGGGCTGTTTCCAGATCTTAGCTATTGTAGGTTGTGCTGCTATGAACACATGAATGCATAAATTCTTTCTGATTGGTGTTTTGAGTTTCTTAGGATATATTCCTACAAGTGGGATCACTGGGCCAAGTGGCAGATCCATATTTAAATTTTTAAGGAACTTTATACTGTTTTCCTTAATGGTTGTACCAGTCTACATTCCCACCAACAATGTACTTGGGTTCCCTTTTCTCCACATCCTTGTCAGCACTTATTGTTGATGGTAGCCATTCTGACAGGTGTGAGATGGTACCTCATTTCATTTTGATTTGCATCTCTTGAATTATCAATGACTTTGAGCATTTTTTTTTTCATGTCTCTTGGCCATCTCTATGCCCTCTTCAGAGAAGTGTCTATTTAGGTCCCATTTTTAAATTGGGTCATCTTCCTTTTGTTAAGTTGTATGGGTACCTTATATATTGGGTTTTTTGTTGTTTTGTTTGTTGTTTTATAGAATATATTTGCATTTATTTATTATTGTTTAAAGTATTACAAATAGTAGTACATGTCTCCTTTTTTTTCCCCCACTGACCTCCCCCCATGCCTCCCCTACCCCCCTGGCAAATGCCCTTCCCCCACCCCCAGTGTCTTGCATTCAGTAGTTATGCTTATATGCATGCATAAAGTCCTTTGGTTGGTCTCTTCCCCCTCCTTCCCCTCCCCTTATATTTTGGATAGTAACCCTTTATCAGATGTATCATTGTCAAATATGTTCTCCCATACAGTGAGCTCTCTTTTCATTTTATTGATGGTTTCTTTTGCTGTGTAGTTTTTTATTAGAAATCAGGTGTCAGCCTTGTGGGAGCTCTTTTGTAGGTAACAATTTACTTTTCTCTTGCTGCCTTTAAGATTCTTTGCCTTTAATTTTTGGCATTTTAATTATGTGTCTGGGAATCGGCCTGTTTGGGTTCTTTTTGCTTGGGACTCTGTGCCTCATGAACTTGTGTGACTTTTTTCTTTACCAGGTTAGGGAAATTTTCTGCCATTATTTCTTCAAACACATTCGCTCTCCCTATCTCCCTTTCTGCCTCTTCTGGCACACCTGCTATTCGAATATTGTTGTTTCACATTGTCTTACAGTTCCCGTAAGCTGTCCTCCTGTTTTTTTCCATTGTTTTTCCTTTTGGTTTCCTGATTAATTTTTCCAACCCTGTCTTCTAATTCACTGATTTGATCATCAGCTGTATATTCCTTAATCTGCTGTATATTCCTTTCAATGTGTTCTTTATTTGTGCTATGTCATTTTTATTTGTTTTCATAGTTACTATATCTTTTCTCACGTTGTGGAGCATCTTTACCATTATTATTCTGAACACTATATCAGATAAATTCATCTCCATTTCATTTATTTCTTCCTCTGAAGAATTCTCATCTTTCATTTGGGGTCTGTGTATCTCATTTTGGCTGTCTGTTTGGGTTTCTGATAGTGTCAGGTAGAACTGCTATGCCTCTCAATATTTAGTGTCAAAAGCTGTTTCTGACTCTGTCTCCATACTGATAGGATTCTGTCTTGAATAGCTTTCAATTAGCCATGGGTATGGTGAGCATTTTTTAAAATAGGTTGGGAAAGTTGCTTCTGCCTGGAGGCCGTAATTCTCATCTGCTAACGGGCCTTAGAGTGTTTCCCAGTGGGATGAGTCCACTGTCTCCCCCTCCAGGAACCACCTGAATAGCTAATATCTGCTTGACAAAGATTACCTCTTCAGCATGAGAAAGTGACTCAGCACAGGAAACTGGGATGTCTGCCTTCTGCACTCTAACCCCTGAGTCCCCTCACACAGCTCCAGTCCATTTTGCCCTCCCTCTGCTGGAGCACAAGCTGAGTGGCTCCAACAGGAAATTTTGTGCATTGGCCATTTAAAGGGTACCTGAATTTCCAGCCATCTCTTCCTGACAGAGAGCAACCCTGCTGCTTTTCAAGCCAGATGTTATGTGGGTCCCCTTCTCAGTTCTGGTGCTCTGCTGGGGCTCAGCTTGTGCAGCATCCACTTACCCTCTTACGTTTTGTGTCTCTCAAGACACACAGCCTCGTCATATCTTTTATCAGTGGCTTCTTATTGATGGTGTTTTCTCTAACACATTACATCCTTTGAAAGGTAGCATCTGTCTCCCCCTTAGTGCCCAGCACAGAGTGTCTCCCATGAAATGCTCAGTGATGTGTGCCTTGGTTCTTTTGTGATCTTTACCAATGACTGCACAATATACTATAATCACATCTGAGTATCCCATAGCTAATGAAACTATACTAACTTTCCAGGCATCAGTGACCTTCAATGACATGCATGTAACCTCTATTCAGGAACAATGAAGACAGTTACACTTACCCAGAGGACCCTATACTGAGAAGTGATCCTGAAGTCCTTCAGGCTTCTCATCTCACAGGCCTCTCCTACCCTCTCTATGGGGACCTGAAGCTTCCCTCATTCTGTCCTTTCTCTCAAACAGCTCTGTAGGGCACCCTCCCTCCTTCCTGCATCCCTGCTGTGTTCTTGTCTCACTTTCTCCTATCTGGCACTCTGTCTCCTCAGAGCATTTTGAGTAATAAATATATTCTGCTTTAAAATGGCTCAGAGATCAAGGATAATTTATTGGAAAGAAGTGAAATCGTCTTGTAAGAATCCCACAAAAAGTGAATCAGTAAGTAGATAAAAGTGATAGGTAAATAGGAATACCCACTAGATGTGACATTTCAGGCCAGAATAAAGCAGCAGCCATGTGAAGATAATGATGATGATGAAAATAGCTAATACTCATTGAATGCTTTTAAGGTGCCAGGCATTATAAGCAGTTTACAAGAACTAACTCATTAAGTCTTCATAATAATCCTGCAAAACAGGTGTTATCACCATTTTACAGATGGGAAACGGAGGCATGGTGCAGTGAAGTAATTATGTCCTACATCACACAAAGCCATTATACATGCAACTTGGAAATATATCCAGATAACATGGCTCCAGAGCCATGTTTTTCACACACTCACAGACATATATATGTACACATACTTTTGAGCTCTTGAAGGGTATGGAATTTGCCTTATTTATCTGCCCCATAGTTGATGCTCAAGAAATGGCTAACAGACATAACTGAGCATGATTCTGTATCAGTGACCATAACATCATTATGATCTCAGCCTTATCTTTTAACATAACAAGGTAATGTACTCATTGCTTTCTTACAACTTTCTCTATTTTTATTTAAAACTCTGGCTTTTGTTGGCCTGCAGACTGAAAGGTCCCAGGTTCGATTACAGTCAAGGGCATGTACCTTGGTTCCGGGCACATCCCCAGTAGGAGGTGTACAAGAGGCAGCTGATCAATGTTTCTCTCTCATTGATGTTTCTCTCTATCCCTCTCTCTTCCTCTCTGTAAAAAAATCAGTAAGATATATTTTAAAAATATTAAAAAAAAATAAAACTCCAGCTTTCTTTCCTAGTTCAGTATCACTGTAAAAGCATTTTAAACCAAAAATTATAAATTATTATCATGCGTATGCTTATGTTTATTTTACTTTTTAATCTTTATTGTTGAAAGTATTATAGATGTCCCCTTTAACCTCATCCACCCTCCTCCCAGCTCCTGGCTCCTCCCCAGGCTTTTCCCGCACTATTGTCTGTCACTGGGCTATGCATATATATAAGTTCATTGGTTAATCTCTTCCCACCCCATTTCTTTCTTGAAATACACCAGTCTGTTGTGTGCTTCTTTTAAAACGAATATGAATAGTTGGATGAATTCTCTCATGAAATAACAAGATGACATAAAAGTATGTGTAGTGAAGGCAAAGAAACCTGGGGAATTCAAGAACTACTTCATTTGTGCAGTACCAGTACTTGAGAGAGCAGAGAGAGGATAGAGAATGCCATGCTTCCTTAATTATCCCTCAAAGATCCTTCAACATTCCCTAGAATTTCAAAACCTCACAAATAATCAAAGAAAAGATAAATCTCTGCTTCATATTAAAAATTCTCCATCTCATTCCAAACCCACTATCTCTTTAGAATTGCAAAGGAATGTGCCTTCACCTCTTGGTTTTCAGTTAAAGTATCACATGTACTAGAGTAGTAGTTTATCTAAAGTCTGAAACCCTATCACACACTCCACATCAGAAATATTATATCAGGATATACTGTCCTGGTTTAAAATAATTTATTACTTACAATTATCATATGCCATAGAGAACATAATCTGAAATATAATTACATAAACTGCCCTTTACTTCCAAGTGTCCACACAACCCAAACATTGATCTATGTTACCTTTCTTGTAGCAAGATAGGAAACCATGGGAGACAGGAAACCATGGGGATAAGTAAGACTATTCCATCTCTTATGTAATTCTTATATAAGATAATATTTGAAGCCATGCTCCTTATAAACCATAATTATCTATCAAGGTTCATTGTAGAAAACAAGAACTCTTATTTCAAGGCATATATTATAGAAAATTGATGCTTAAAAATTGGTAGGTGGACTGGAGAAGTAATAGAAACAGCTCTGGACTATTAATTTCAAGATAAACCTCTAAAACTATGATTCAAGGAAGGAGAAATGACTGCTGCTATTATTAGTGATGCTGCCAATAGGAATACCCCAAAACCATAATACCTGAAACTAGACACCTGCAGCAAATATAACAGAAGTTGCTGGTCTGCTTTGCCTACAGTGACCCCCCAGACTGTGTGTGCTTGCAGTTTCATACTTAGTCCTCATCCTTTAGGATTCTAATTAATCATATCCAGTCCAGTCAGTGTGGCTGACTGAGCAATGATAAATGACCTCCTGGTTCAATTCATAGTCAGGGCACATGCTTGGGTTGTGGGCTCAAACCTGATTAGAGGGTGTGTAGGAGGTAGCAGACCAATGATTCTCATTATTGATATTTCTATCTCTCCCTCTCATTTCCTCTCTCTGAAATTAATTTTAAAAATAAAAATTTTTTAAAACCATATCCACAGTGAAGCCTGCTCTGATCCCTCATAGTATGTTGTTTCTTGATTATGTTCTCACAAGTACTTGTTAAAAATTTAAATGTGTGAATTAGTCCAGTGGTAATGGTCTATGAAATGTCCTTATCAACAATGAAATTCTTAGCACAGAGATTAGGTAGTTTTTCTTTTTTAACATATATATTTTATTGATTTCAGAAAATAAGAGGAAGAGATAGAAATATCAATGATGATAATCCCGTATCAGCTGCCTCCTGCATGCTCCCTATTGGGGATTGAGCCTGAAACCCAGGTATATGCCCTGACTGGGAATCAGACAATGACCTCCTAAGACTCAGGTTGACACTCAATCACTGAGCAACACTGGCTGGGCCAGTTTTTCTTTAGGTTTGCTAGTTTCCCACTAAAGGCTATTGTCAGTCTGATCTTAATTCATCAAGAGGCAAGTAATAGAAAGTTTTACAAGATATATCAGTGTCACTGTGAGTTTATTATATACAACTGGTTTTATTAGAGATCAAGAATTTCATTCACACCACTTTTTACTTCTTTTGCAAACTTAATTTTCATTTTTATAACATTTACTCAGTCCACTGAGTGACTAAGTATCTTCCAATGCCCATTAACTAGATAATTTCTATGTAGGACTTAAGTAAAACTGCAAGTGACTGCTATAAGAAATGCATATTTATTTATAATATGCTTGTTTGCTCTCCTGTAACTGTTTACAAATGGCATCATTGCAAAGATTTACACGTAAGTCCTACATCCTTCAGGTTGTTCTAGCATTAGTACACAGGTTGTTCCAGACATTCACGTCCAATAAGAACTCTTAGTAAATACTTTGCTACATTTCTGACATAAGCTTTCTCTGCAGTGTGAGTTCTTTGATGTAGAATGAGGAATACACTTTAACTAAAAGACTTGCCACAACTTTATATTCATAGTTTGTCTCTCTTGTATATGTCTGTACATATTTCCTAAGAGATTCATATTTCCAAGTCTTCCACATATTTGTTGTTACATATACAGAACAGTAAATACAGTGTGGATTTACTTACCAAAGGATTAATACTGGCTAAAGGCATTCTCACATTTATTGCTTTCATATGGTCTCTCTTCAGTGTGAACTCTGGACAATATGGCTTGTACCATTGCTAAAAACCTTTCTATAGTCATTACTCTCATAAGACTTTTCTCCAATATTGATTTTCTGATGCTGAATCAGGGAGGATCAATGGTTGAAATGTATTATGAAAACACTGCATTCATACAGTTTCTCTCATATATGATTTTTCACACATATAGTGATTTACATAGTCTAAAGGTTTTTCCACACTTAGGGCACTACTGAGTTTCTTTCCATTGTGTATCCTCTGATGGGCAGTAAGATTTGAGCCTTTGCTAAAAGCTTTCCCACATTCATTACATTTATATGGCTTTTCTCCAGTATGAATTCTCTGATGTACAGTAAGGTTTGAACTACAACTGAAGGTCTTCCCACATTTAATACATTCATAGGGTTTCTCTCCAGTATGAATTCTGTGATGTTGAAGCAGGGATGACCTATGACTGAAGGCTTTCCCACATATATTGCATTCATAAGGTTTCAATCTAATGTGATTTCTCAAATGCATATTCAGTGATTCAGGCTGGTTGAAGGATTTCCTGCATTTCTGACATTCAAAGGGCTTTTCTTCAGTATGAATACTCTTATGCTGAATAAGAAATGAGAGGCTACTGAAGACTTTCAGACATTTGCTGCATTCAAATTGTTTCTCTATAGTGTGAATTCTTTGATGTCGAGTAAGGTGTGAGCTACAGCAAAAGGCTTTTCCACATTCACTACATTCATAAGGTTTCTCTCCAGTATGAATTTTCTGATGGTGAATGAGAGATGACCTATGAATGAAGGCCTTCTCACATATTTGACACTCATAAAGCTTTTCTTGAGTATGAATTCTCAGATGTTCAATGAGATGTGAAACACGACTAAAAGACTTTCCACAGTTCATACATTCATATGGTTTCTCTCCAGTGTGGGTACTTTGATGATTAGTAAGTGATGAGACATGGCTAAAGGCCTTCCCACAGTCAATACATTTGTAAGGTTTCTCACCACTATGGCTTATCTGATGGCGAGTAAGGGATGAGCCATGACTAAAAGTCTTCCCACATTCATGACATTCATAAGGTTTCTCTCCTGTATGAATTCTCCAGTGGCGATTAAGAATCGATTGTTTGCCAAAGGCTTTCCCACATTCACTGCATTTATAGATTTTCTCTCTATTATAAGTCTGGTGAAGGGTAAGAGATTTGCTCTGGCTGACGGCTGCCACACTTTCATTAGAATCCAAAAGTTTCTTTCCACCATTGATATTCTCATTTTTTATAAATGACTTTTTTGGTAAGCTCTTCTTAAATATATCATGTTTATGTGATTTCCCTTCAGCAGAAATTCTCTGTAGTTCAAAAAGAATAGACTTTAAATTTAAATAAAAAAATGCTTCTAAACACATTCCCCATTGGGACTTTCTCTAAAGATGAAGGTCACTGGTCTAAAATGTTCTACCTAGCCGAAACTGGTTTGGCTCACTGGATAGAGCGTCGGACTGCGGACTGAAAGGTCCTGGGTTCGATTCCTGTCAAAGGCATGTACCTTGGTTGCAGGCACATCCCATGTAGGGGGCGTGCAGGAGGCAGCTGATTGATGTTCCTCTCTCATCAATGTTTCTAACTCTTTCTCTCTGTAAAAAAATCAATAAAATATATTTTTAAAATAAATAAAATGTTCTACCTAATTTGCATGCTTTCCCTCCAATTTCCCTATAGAGTCCCAGTACTTGTTAAAATTTGAAAATTCACAACTTTGTTTTATCATTTTTTCTATTATTACCGTTTCAGGTGAGTCATCCTCATAAATATTCTCCTTTGCTGATAATTCTTTGTTTTCCCATCTTAATTTCCAATCTGCAAAATATCAAGAAAGCAAAACACTTCTTTTACGTTCTTCTTGGAAGAAAATTCTATGATAGAAATAGAATTGGATAAAAAATAAAGTTCCACCCACACCCCTGCTCGAAAACACATAGCTCTGACAATATATTCAATTATTTCTGAAAAAAAGTTAAAGAAGAGCACAGAAAATACAGACAGCTCAAGGAGGCAGGAACTGAGTACAATAAAGGACCAGGGTTAATTAAGGGCAATCAGCATTTTGGAAAAAATGAAACTATCAGGCAGAATATGCAAAAGGCATTCTGGAATCCAGGCCAATATTTTGTGCCTATATTTATGTGCAAGAACACATTCAATCTCAGAGCCTTGGTTCTACAATCTTTAATCAATCTCAATTTGCTATCAGATTAGTATGCTTAAAATGCAGAATTTATAGTGTTTCATTAAACAGTTATAATGACAACAAAATAATCTAAATATACTTTATGGTTCATAAAAATTAAGGCTTTTGTGAGTTATGTAGTATCTATATAAAATCATTAATTTTCTTGGACATTAGAAAATATAGTATACTTAAACCTTGTATTGATCATCAATCTGTAATTAAAGTAATTTAAGACTTCATTGTTCTTAGAAATTTTCTTATACATTCTTTATTTCCTCTAACACTTATGCTCATATTTGATCTCTGAAGTTCAGCCTTGGTGGAAAAGTGAGTTTCTATCTAATTCACAGCTTTTCTTAACATAAAACCATCAGTATATTTTTCCTTAAATGGTCTTAAAAAGAATAACTTGCTCCACTTTTAAAATTTTACTTATTATTATTATTTTAATATATTTTTATTGATTTCAGATGAAGGGAGAGGGAGAAATAGAAACATCAATGATGAGAGAGAATCACTGATCAGCCCCCTCCTGTACACTCCACACTAGGGATCAAGCCCACCACCCGGGCATGTGCCCCGACAGGAATCAAACTGTGACCTCCTGGTTCATAGATTAACACTCAAACACTGAGCCACACCAGTCAGGCTAAAACCTCCACTTTTGATTAGATAACATGAATAATACAGAAAGATAATTTTGGATGGAGAATGGTCATTCTGAAATCTAAGTTTAAGGATCCCTCAATTTTGTTATATTTGGGAAGCTCTGAAGACAGTCTCCCTAAGATTTTCTAAAACGCCCCCCCTCCTCCTTTCTACAAATACCTATTTTGCCTGATTCACCATAATTTACCTGGAAACATACCTTTTCTCAGCTTTTTCTCCACCATCCAAGGTTCTTTCCCATCCTCCAATAAAGTGATCACATGTGGCTTAGGTATCGAAAGACCTGCTTACAGGAAAAATATAGAATTGTTTGAACTGAGGTCCTCATGGGGAGATGCCATCATCACAAAAGGGACCAAAGGACAGTTTAAAGAATGTTCCCTGAAAGGAAAGATAAGCTTCAGGCAGAATACAACAGAGCTACACATTTCCTTGGGGGTGTAAAAGAAAAATTCAGCCATTTACTCAGAAAGATTTCCATCAATTCAGAGTGGCCAAAAGAAAAAAAATCTCCTCTGTTGATATGGAGGTGGAAATAAGCAAATTATAATATGCTTACCTAGAGAGATCAGGTTCTCATAATTCTGGACCATCACATCCTTGTATAAATCCCTCTGAACAGAATCTAACCATCCCCACTCTTCATGAGAGAAGTCTATGGCCACATCACTAAATGTAACCTGAAATAGCAAACACATTTAGGCTCAATTATAATCCAGACCTCTTCTGTCACTGGACAAAGGATAAAGTTACCCTGATTGGAGAAGGGGACAAGATGTAAAGATTGTGACAGTAATTAGAAATCTAATATAAGTAATCTAATTATTGGGTAATTACATTTTTTTGGCATTGTTGTACACTAAGGGGAGACAAATATAAGAACTTTCCTTTAGGAGAGTTAATTTTTTTCAAAGGGAATACAATTATAATTTTTTAAAATCAGCATTCAACATTTAACAGCATATAGTCAACTTGTGTTTTTTGTTGTCATTTTTTAAAAATATATACTTTTATTGATTTCAGAGAGAAGGGAGAGGAGATAGAAACATAAATGATAACAGAGAATCATTGATGGGTTGCCTCCTGCATGCTCCTACTAGGGATTGAGCCTGTGTCCTAACCAGAATCAAACTGTGACTTCCTGGTTCATAGGTCGACCCTTCAACCACTGAGCAATGCTGGTTGGGCTCAAGTTGTGTTTTTTATAACTTACATGCTAAGTAAACAAAAACGCTAAGGGTAGACTTAAAAACAAATAAACAAAAAATACGGTATACTTAAACCTTGTATTGGTCATCAATCTGTAATTAAAATAATTTAAGACTCATTGTGCAAGAAGACTGAAGGATAGTTTCATGCCATAGGTAGTCCTTGAACAGAACCTTAAAGTAAGGGTAAAGAATAACATTTCATGGAAAATAGTCTAAGGAAATGGATTTCTTCTCAGAAACAGTGATCATTCAAGGTGGTATTAAAAAAGCAAACCATTAGAAAAAATTTAAATGTTTATTATGCTTACTGGTTAGTCAAATTATAACATGCAAAAATGTATGTATTTAAAATGGCATTATTAATATCTTTCATTGGTAAAATCGACATTGTTTGGCCATGGTAGATTTTTCACTCCATGAGGGGTTGATTCAATATTCTATTACTGAGAACCACAATGGTGGCATAAGTAAACACCAGTATTCGTAGTCTCCCACAACCATATAAAAAATTACAACTAAAATACAGAATGACCATCATTCAGAACCACCTGAAAGCTGACTGAATGGAAGTCCTACCACTAAAGAAGTAAATAAGAAAACACACTGAGACTGGTAGGAGGAACGGAGGCTCAGACCGGGCTGGTCAGGCACCCCCAGGGGCCATTTTTTTAACCGAGGGACATTGTCCCCGCAGAGGCTGCTATGGGGAGCAAGAGGTCCCAGCCCCACAACAGACTACCTGCCCAGGGCCCAGAGCTGGAAAGAGAAGTCCCCGTAACTTTGGGCTGTAAAAACCAGTGGGGATTGGGACTGAGGGACATAAAGGCTGCCCAAGACCCAGATGTCCCTCTTAAAGAGCCAAGCACAAACTTACTCGGACTTGTTTCCACTGAGCTCCAGTACCAGGAGGCGTTAGGGGACCCAGACACATATGGAGAGGAACTGGATTGTCTGGCATTGGGGCAGGAACTTGGGGGCGGCTTTCTATCAGACAGAAGTGCATGCAGAGGTAATTGATCCTAAGCCAAGACCTCCCCTCTCCCAGGGCTGACTGGAAACCATATCTGAGTCCCCATCAACCTGGGGCACACTGTTTGCCGTGCCCTGGCGATTCCCTGAAATTCTGCCCCATCCAATTTGCAGCCCCACCCAAGCTGTTTGCAGCAGTTTTTCCATATGAATGGCCTGTCCTGGCTAGGCTTCACACTTTGCTAAAATCTCTCAAACAAGCAGCAGTTGGTGTCAGCATGCCCCAAACCTATCCATAAAAGGCCCATGACCAAGCACCAGCCTACCTTGTTTCAAAGCTGGGCCTCACCTGGGCACTTCTAAAACCCAATACAAATGGGAGAAATCTTTAGATCTTTCTGTAGCTCCTACTAGATGGTCTAAGACAGTGGCTGGCTTTGCATCTCCCTCGAGACCCAAGAACCAGTGTACCTGGTGGACAGCTTCAGACCATACCAGATTACAACTCTACACCTCCTAAAGCAACACACTGAAGGGGCAGACTCAGTGAGCACCATCACCCTACTGAAGCAAGTCCTGCTCCACAGGGGTGTTTCCTGCACAGCTGCTCTCCCACTGTAGTCACAGCTCGTTTTCACAGCCAATTTGTCTGAAGGTGAATTCCTCCCAGTGACACCAACAGCAATCAAGTCTCAACTACAACAAAGCTGTGCACACAGCCCACAAAACGGTGCATCTAGAGTGTCCCGCTCAAGAGACTGGGGAGGCTGAACCACTGGGCTCTATAGGACACCTACTACACCAGGCCATTCTACCAACTCCGGGAAACATTGCAGCTCTACCTAATACATAGAAACAAACACAGGGAAGCAGCCAAATTGTAGAGATAAAAAAAATGTCACAAGTGAAAGAAATAGAAAAAAGCAGAGTTCAAAACCATGGTTATAAGATTATTATCAAGGATTTTCATGAAATCTTCAAGGGACTTAGTGACACTTTTAAGAATCTTGGTGAGAATGCCAAAGACATGGAAAAGGACCAGTCAGAAATTAAGCACACACTAGAAATTAAGCATACACTAAGTGAAATAAAGAATAATTTACAAGGATTTAATAGTAAAGGATTCCAAGAATCAAATAAATGATTTGAAATATGAGGAAGCAAAAAATACACAATCAGAATAACAAAAATAAAAAATAATCCAAAAATATGAAGACAGTATAAGGAGCTTCTGGGACAACTTCAAGTGTACAGTGTACCAACATTCGCATTATGGGGGTACCAGAAGGAAAAGAGAGCAAGATATTGAAAATTTAAAGAATAATGACAGAAAACTTCCCCTACCTGGTGAAAGAAATAGACTTATAAGACTAGAAAGTGCAGAGTCCCAAACAAGAGGAACCCAGAGGCCCACACCAAGACACATAATAATTAAAAAGCCAAGGGCTAAAGACAAAGAGAGAATTTTAAAAGCAGCAAGAGAAAAACAGTTACCTACAAGGGAGTACCTATACAACTGTCAGCTGATTTCTCAACAGAAACTATACAGTCCACAAGAAAATAGCAAGAAATATTCAAAGTGATGAATAGCAAGGACCTGCAACCAAGATTATGCAGCAAAGCTATCATTTAGCATTTTTTCCTATTTTTTAAAAAATAAATCTTTATTGTTCATATTATTACAAATGTTCATTTTCCCCCCCTCCATTGCTCCCCTCCAACAGGTTCCCACACCAACCTCTGCCTTTTCCCCACCCCCCACTGTCCTCAACCACAGGTGCACAGTTTATGTTCAGTCTCTTCCCACACACCCCCAACTCCCCTTTTCCTTGAGAATCGTCAGTTCACTCCCCTTCCATACCTCTTCTATTATATTCAACAGTTAATATTGTTCATCAGATTTTTTAATTCCCTTGTTTTTTAGATTCACTTGTTGATAGTTACATATTTGTTGTTCATAATTTTTATCTTTATCTTCTTCCTCTTCCTAAAGAACCCTCTTCAGCAATTCATATAATTCTGGTTTGGCAGTGATGAACTCCTTTAGCTTTTTTTTTATTTGTGAAGCTCTTTATTTGGCTTTCAATTCTGAGTGATAGCTTTGCTGGGTAGATTATTTTTGGCTGTAGGTTCTTGCTATTCATCACCTTGAATATTTCTTGCCATTCCCATCTGGCCTGCATGGTTTCTGTTGAGAATTCAGCTGACAATCATATGGGTGCTCCTGTTTCTTTCTTGATGCTTTTAATATTCTTTGTCTTTTGTCCTTGGAATTTTAATTATGATGTGTCTTGGTGTGGTCCTCTTTGGATTCCTTTTGTTTGGGGTTCTGTGCGCTTCCTGGACTTGTAAGTCTAATTCTTTCACCAGGTGGGGGAAGTTTTCTGTCACTATTTCTTCCAGTATGTTTTCGGTATCTTGCTCTCTCTCTTCTTCTGGGACCCCCATAATTCTGTTGGTTTGCCTGAAGTTGTCCCAGAGGTTTCTTACATTATCTTCAACTTTCTGGATTCTCTTGTCTTCTTGCTTCTGCGGAATGTCTCTGGCTCTTTATGTTCCAAATCTTTGATTTGATTCTTGTGATCTTCCATTCTGTTTTTAGGAGTCTGTATAATATTTTTTATTTCAGACAATGTATTCTTTATTTCTAGTTGATCCCTTATTATTTCTAGTTGTTCCCTTTTCATATTCTCATAGGTCTCCTTTATTTTATCGGCCTTTTCTAGGAAGTTCTTGAAAAACCTTATAACCGTGGTTTTGAACTCTCTATGTCCAGTCAATTGTTGCCCTCCATTTCTTTCATTTGTGATCTGTTTCTTTGTCTCGGCATTTCGCTGCTTCCCGGAGTTGGTAGGGTGGCTTTGTGTGCTAAAGTGTCCTATATGGTTCTGTGGGTCAGTCTCCCAGTTACCTGACGTAGACACTCTTGGTGGCCCCTTCTGTGAACTGTGTGTACAGCCTTGTTGTAGTTAAGTCATGATTGTTGTTAGTATCACTGGGAGGAAATGACCTCCAGGCCAACTGGCTGTGAAGATCAGCTGTATCTATGCCAGGAGACAGCCTTATTCAACTAGACTTGGAAAATTTCAAAAGCCTCTGTGCTCAGCTTGGATGGGGTGGAGTTTCAGGGTGGAGCCTACAGCCTTGGCTTTGGTCAACAGTCTGTTCTCTGCGTGCAATGTGCGCGCCTTTGAGACTTCCTTCCGCCGTCCCCCTGAGTTTCCGCCTTACAGCCCAGACTCCCTCTGTATGAGCCTGGGTCCCCAGGGTCTGGCCTAGAACTGGGGTTCAGAGCAGTCGGTACTGGGGCTCAGCACAGTCCAGAGCTTTTGTCTCCTTCCTGTTAGGGCAATCTAGAAGCAGAGTCAACAGTCTGTCCTCTGCGCGCAATGTGTGCACCCCAGGGACTGCCTTTTGCCACTCCCCTAAGTTTCCGCCTTATAGCTCAGACTCCCTCCATATGAGCCTGGGTCCCCGGGGTCTCGCCCAGAACTGGGGTTCAGTGCTATCGGAACTGGGGTTCAGCACAGTCCAGAGATTTTATCTCCTTCCCGCTAGGAAATGCCAGCCAGGCACTCAGCCACCCCTCCTCTCTGGCTCCTTCCTCTCCATGCACCCACCATGTCTCCGTACCTTAGGCTTTTACAGCTCCTCTGATTTCCCTTCTGGTTTTCTCTTTCCTTCTAGTTGTAGAATTACCAGTCAGTCAACTTTCCTGTAGTTCTGGATAATGTCCATTTTGTATTTTAGATGTATTTTTTTGAAATTGTTGTTTGAGGCTGCAGTTAGGTGTTTACCTATGCCACCATCTTGGTTTCTCCTATCATTTATCATTGAAGGTCAGATAAAGAGAATGCAAAAGGAGTTAATCACCACCAAACCAGTATTACATGAAAAGCTGAAGGGTATTCTTTAAGAAAAGAAGAAAATAATTTAAAATGTGAAAAATAAAATGTCAATAAATACATGTCTATCAACAATTGAATCTAAAAATCAAAATAAATAAGTAAAAAAATATATATTCTATTATTTTATTAGGATATTTTGCATATATATTCACTAGTGACACTGGTCTTTGGTTTCAAAATGGGAATTTACCTTTGTCAGATGTTGGAGAAATAATTAAAAACCATTATCTGCCAAGCAGAAAATCTTCTCTACAATGTAGAAAAGAGACAGGTTTATTACTGAATAAGCATTAACCAGAGTGCAATGCACTTCATAGGACATCACTAATGAGACTTTAAGAACAGAAAGAAATCTGACCCTTTTATTTTTTTGTTTTATTTTTTTAATATGTTTTATTGATTTTTTTACACAGATGAAGGGAGAAGGATAAAGAGTTAGAAACATTGATGACAGAGAAACATCAATCAGCTGCCTCCTGCACATATCTTAAACCTGGGACCTTTCAGTCCATAGGCCGATGCTCTATCCACTGAGCCAAACTGGTTTGGGCAAATCTGACCCTTTTAAAAAGCCAGGTAGATACAACCAATACATACATGCTTTCAAAATAAGTAACTTGTCCTCCATTTGCTACACATAGTTCATCCTACATTCACCTGGTAAGTTAATTACCTTTACTCCAAAGAAAAATAAAACAACTTTATTTTTATGACAAGCAGACAGAACTTGAAGCCAAAAGCCTAGGCTAAACTCCCACAGACAGGTAGTTAAGGATGCATCTTCCTTCATATTTGTATTTCAAAGAGATGGATCCAAAGCCCTAAGAAAGACTTGACTTCCTTGTAATATTGGCAGAGGGTACTTAGCTTCTAAAAAGATTTATAAGCATCTCCAGGGGACAAGGAAAGTATTTACAATAACAGGTTTTTCTCAAGGAACTATTCTAAAAGGAAGGGGTGCCCAGCTGGTGTGGCCTGGTGGCTGAGCATCAACCCATGAATCAGGAGGTCCCAGTTCAATTCCCAATCAAGACATATGCCAGGGTTGTGGGCTCAATCCCCAATTGGGGGCAGCAAATCAATGATTCTCCCTCATCATTGATGTTTCTATCTCTTTCTCTCTTCCTCTCTGAAATCAAGAAATAATGTTTTTAAAAAAGGAAAGGAGGGGCTTTTGTCTTTTTCCCTTTGGCACCAGGGAAAATTCTTTTTTTCTATTTGTATTTACTCTTACCAGCACATGTTAAGTCATAAAACACTTTTATTTTACCAGTGCAATGATATTTCATTTTTTTTTTTTTTTTAAATATATTTTTATTGATTTTGTACAGAGAGGAAGGGAGAGAGATAGAGAGCCAGAAACATCGATGAGAGAGAGTGTCATCGATCAGCTGCCTCTTGCACACCCCCTACTGGGGATATGCCCGCAACCAAGGTACATGCCCTTGACCGGAATCGAACCCGGGACCTTTCAGTCCCCAAGCCGACGCTCTATCCATTGAGCCAAACCGGCTTCGGCAATGATATTTCATTTTTAAAAAAACATATTTTATTGATTTTACACAGAGAGGAATTGAGAGGGACAGAGAGTTAGAAACGTCGATGAGGGAGAAACATCGGCCAGCTGCCTCTTGCACACCCCCAACTGGGGATGTGCCCGCAACCAAGGTATATGCGCTTGACCAGAATCGAACCCGGGACCTTTCAGTCCGCAGGCCGATGCTCCATCCACTGAGCCAAACCGGTCCCAGCTGATATTTCATATTTTAAGTTTTGAACACATTGATGAATATCATTGTATTAAAAGTCTAAAGAAAATTCACATAATCTTATTAACTAATACTCTTTGCCCTTATTTAGATCAGGGTTTCTCGACCTTGGCACTATTGACATTTTAGGCTAGATAATTTTTATGTTGTGGAGAGCTGCCCTGTGCATTCTGAGATATTTAGTAGCATCCCTAGCCTCTACTCTTAGGTCTCTACCTGTGTTCAGGGTATCCTCTCAGTGTAACTTCACTTCCAGCTCTGCCTCCTGGATACTATGGGCCACCAAAATAGTTCTAGTCTTGCTTCCCCCAGGGGTCCTTCAACTCTTTCTTCCCCTTCAATTGTATGGGCAGCCTTTGCTATTAATTTATCTTTGTCTTCAAAAGAATTCAGGATATATGTCCTAGCTCCTTTCTTAATTTCTTATACTTTCATACTTTTCTACCAGACCTTCGCTATTCAATACAGCAGTCACTAGCCACACTTGGCTATTTAAATTTTTTAAAAATTAGCTTCAGAAGCAAGATGGCGAATGTGTGGAGGTTGAGTGTTCTTTTGAGTGCCCAAGGAGACCAAGAGAGATGAAGCGAAACATCAATGTGAGAAAGAAGCATCAATCAGTTGGTTACCTCCTGCACGTGGCCCCACTGGGGATCAAACCTGAAACTTGGCTCTTTTCCTCTGAACTCCAGTGGTCAGACCTACTCAAATCTCAGCATTTCTCCAGGACCAACCTATCCCAGGATGGTGTGGAATACAACACATTCACCTGTCTACCCAGTCACCATTCTGGTTCCAAGGCTGCATCTCTCCACTGGACTGATGAGAGGGTTATCAATGTTTTGCTCCTGGGCCTACTTCCAACTGATTATTTGAATCCTTCCTCTGTGAAGGGACTACTCCCAGGCTGCAGCCCTCACTCGCCATGGTCACTGGGACCTTGGACAAGTTGTTATTGACAATGTTCACAAGGATGCACTGCAGAGAGCTGTCAAGGCAGTCCTCCTGGCACTCTCGGCTTTCACCTTTGCTGGGCTTTGTTATTTCAAGTATCACAATGTGAACATCTGCAAAGCTGTTGCCACGCTGTGGAAGCTCTGATCTTCTTGACTTAATAACTTGAAAATTGATTTGCCTCTGCTCTGCCAGTCATCTCACAATAAGGAGGAAATAACCCTACGTCCACTGGTGAGATAAACCTCTTCTCCTAACCACCTGGCTAGTTTTAGAATTTAATCTATGAGGAAAAGGTTTGAGAATAATTCTATTCAAGAAATTGTGAGACTGAGTTCCACATTCTGGCAAATGAATGAGGTTGTCTTCCAGCTTCTTACGAGACTCACAATGTAACTGAATGTTATGTATGAGCTTTCGCATTTTAATTTACCAAACTCTTTTATATATATATAAAATATATATATATACATATATATACATATATATATATATATATATTTTTTTTTAATTGATTTTTTTACAGAGAGGAAGGGAGAGATAGAGAGCTAGAAACGTAGATGAGAGAGAAACATCGACCAGTTGCCTCTTGCACACCCCCTACCGGGGACGTGCCCGCAACCAAGGTACATGCCCTTGACCGGAATCGAACCTGGGACCTTTCAGTCCGCAGACCAACGCTCTACCACTGAGCCAAACCGGTTTCGGCAATTTACCAAACTCTTAAAGGGAACTAGCTTTATTACTGTCAATGCCTAATCAAACTTCAATATTTGCCCTAGGAGTTACGGAGAAAGGGAAAACTATTAATTCATAAGTAAAGACTGCAGAAACTTAGGCAGCACTTAATGTCTGAAAACTTCCCCCCTTTGTTCAGTTGATACCACTAACTGATGTTATATGCCTTTGGAAAACTTTAGAGTTAAGAAATGCTGATATTTCACTAATTTCTAAATCCTGAGAAAAAGAGCCTGGAGAAATTCTGAATATAGACAAGTTTCATGCAGGAAAGAGGTACCCATGTAGATGATGTATCAAAATACTACATGTTCTAAACTGAGACTTACTCCTCAAATGTGTTCATTTTACATGTCCCAAAATAATATCCACAAATATAAAACGTTAAATAATAAATTTATTTTCCGACTGTGAGAATCTCTAATGTGAAATGTATTCTATGAATATAAAGATTTTTTTAAATAAAATTTTTTTAATAAATAAAACATTAAAGAGTTAAAAATTCAGTTCCTCAGTCATTCTAATCTTAGTTCAAATACTCAATATTCATATGGGGCTGGTGGCTACTGTACTGAACAACATACATGTAGAGTATTTCCATCACTGCAGAAAATTATCTTAGTACTGCACTAGGTCATGCAGTCCTGCATGTCAGTGTATACCCAAACTTATGTAAGATACTTCCTGACAGGTACTTCGTAAGTATTTAGGAAATTAATCAGTGAAAGATCTTGGCAATCATTTCACTTTAGCTTATACTTTTTTTTTAATTGTTATTTTCAAATTTAATTATATAATACTCCCAAGAAACCAGACTCTATCCAACATGCACATCTATCATTCATACCGTCTCCTCTGCAAGCTTCACCTTCCACCCTGTGATTCTGCCCACCACTGTTTCAGCACTCATTCACTCAACTATTTAGTAAGCATTTGTTTTGTGCCAGGTACCACTCTGGGTAATGAAGATAAGTCAACAACAACAACAAAAAAGAAAGAAGAAAAAAAAAAGAGGGGTGGGGGAAACCACAAAACCCTCCCAGTGGGAGGAGATAAACCATGAGCATATGCATATACTACACATATGCTAGTGAGTGATAAGTCTTATGGAAAACAATAGAACCATGATGGAGGAGTTGAAAGGTGACTGATAACTTTATTTTATTTATTTATTTATTTATTTTTTGCCTGGGACTGGAAGAATTTATTGAAATGGATAAAGATCCCCTGTCTGTCAAAGCTGCAGGTGCTAGAGGTATAAGTGCTCTGACAAATGGCCTCAACCCCACCCCTGTGCCACCCATTAAGCCACTTAATAGTCCCTGGGGAAGACCCGCCTTGTTCTTCTCCAGCACACCATGTTCCTCTCTCCTACTTTCAAATCTAATAGTACCATTAGCCCTAGGTATTTATCAAAGGGGACCTCAGGGAACCCCACACCTCCCAGTAATCCTCAACAGCCCTCCAAAAATAAGCCACAGAAGCTTAATATCTGTGACTGATAATTTTAAATAGGTGTTTAGGCAAGTTATACTGAGAAAATAACCATTGAACAAAGATACAAAGAAGGTAAGAATGCAAGACTGTGCCTATCTGAGGAAAGAATGTTCTAACCTGACAGGACAGCAACTTCTAAGTTCTGGAGGAAGTAACCAGTGTAGTTGGAGCCCACAGGGAACAAAGAGACAGAAGAAAAATAAGATCAGAGAGGTAATAGCCAGCCTAATTGTACAAAGCTTTTTAAGTCAGTCTGTTATTCTGAGTTAGACCCAGTGAAGAGTTTTAAAAATGAGGCACAACACAGGCCCGGAACACCAACTGCCAGGCTGGGAGCGGCCAGGCCCGAAGCGACCAGGCCCGGAGCAGCAGCTGCCAGGCTGGGAGCGGCCAGGCCCAAAGCAGCTGGGCCCAGAGCAGCCGGGTCAGGTGCGGCCAGGCCCCTGGCCCGGAGCAGCAGCAGCCACGCCCAGAGCAGCCAGGTCGGGAGCGGCAGTGGCCAGACCTGGAGCAGCTGGTTGTGGAACAGACCAGAGCAACAGAGGCCAGGCCCGGAGCAGCCAGGCCTGGAACAGCTCGCTCCTCGCCTGCCTCTGCCCCAAGGCTGCCTCTCAGACATGGCTGGAAACTTTGGGGGGCAACTTGAGGGTCTGCTGAACCAAATGAGGAAGGCTTAGATCTGGATGTGTTGAGTTAGTATAAGGCTGGGGTGTTGATCTGTGAGTGCCTTGTGTGGGGCCTGGATGAGGTTGGTTGATCTATTTGGAAATGTCTTTTGTGTGAAGTGTATCCTTGGGCATGTGGAAGTATTATTGATTTGAGAAAATGCTAAGTAACTGATTTACTATCTGAAAAATTTAAACTTCTGAAAGTTTAAGGTCTCTTGCCAAAAAGAGGTTTTAAAGCTAACACCTTAATTTTAATGGAGAAAGGGAATGACAAGCCCTTCCCACTCAGAACAGGTAATCCAATTCCAACCAGCAGCTATGTTTAAACAACGTGTCCATTTACACTTGAATGGCTATAGCCTAAGGGCAAGTTTACATGTAAACAAGTTTGCTCTCAATTCCCAGAAAAAAAACAAAAACACAAGGTTTAAAATTATTAGATTTAAAAATTTATTCTTAGAAGTATAAAAGTTTATTAATTAAAAAAAAAAGAGAGAGATTGAAAAACCTGATGAACAATAATAGCGGTTCATTGTAGTAGAGTCGGTGATATGGGAGGGGAGTGGGCTGACTGTTCTCCGGGAAAGGGAGGGAGGAAGAGACTGAACATAAACTGTGCACCTATGGATGAGGACAATGGGGGGTGAGGAGGGGGTGGAGGATGGGGTGGGAACCTGGTGGAAGGGGGAAGAAATGAGGAACCTTTGTAATAATATGAACAATAAAGATTGATTTAAAAATAAATAAATAAATAAATAAATAAATAAAAATGAGGCACAACAGGATTTTATATAATAAGAAAATCATTGTGACTGCTGTATTAAGAAGAGACTAAAGAGAGTCAAGGTCCAAAGCAGGGAATCCTACTAGGAAGCTACTGCAATAATCTAGGTTGGCTTGGACCAGGGTAGCAGTGCTGCGTCAGTGATGGGGTAACTAATGGTCAGATTCTGTATATATCCTGTTTATATTTTAGAACTAACTAAAGTGCCTGAATGTGAGTTATGAGAGAAAGGGAGAAATCAAGATGACTCCAAACATCTCTTTACTTAAATAACTGAAAGGACTTACTGTATATACCCTTAACTGAAACCATTGATACAGCTTTAACAACCATAAAGCAAATAGCCTAAATTTCCAAATTTGAATTCTGAATTGTAATTTTTAAAAGGTTAGCCCTAGCCAGTTTTTCTCAGTGGTTAGAGCGATAGCCGGAGGACTGAAGGGTCCCAGATTTGATTTCACTCAAGGGCATACCTCAGTTGCAGGATCCATCCCCACCCCTGGTTGGGGCACCTGTGGGAGGCAACAACCACATCGATGTTTCTCTCTGTATTTCACCCCCTCCCTTCCACGCTCTCTAAAAATCAATGGGAAAATATTCTCAGGTAAGGATTAACAACAATAACAACAACAAAAAGTTTGTTCAATACTCTACAAAGGCTTCTAGCAGAAAACTGGTAGAAAAGAGGAGAAACTTAGAGAAGATAACACTTTGGAGTTCTTCTTCAGGCTCCATCCTTGGCTACAATGAAAGGAATCACAGATCCAGTCCCTAAATGGAATTTGTTGGAGGGAAATGATAGAAGGAAAGCAAACACTCAAGAGACCTGATAAAAAGGTGTTTCAGGAAGATCTGAGGACTTACCTGGAACATGACTTTGCAGTTTCCAGTAATCAACACAGTTGTCTTTCCAGGCTCTTGTGTAATTGGAGGGCACTGTCCTGAGATGGCAAATTAAGGACAGGAAAAAGCAGTCAAGAAAAATCGGACTTATCTTGCAGCTCTGTAACACACCTGTGTGGAGAAAAACAATGGTAATCATTTTCTAGGGCTCTGATCTTCCTCTGAACTAACAGAGTATTCCTTGGCACGAAGTAACTAAACCATTCACTAGGTTCCACCTGCAAGTCAATCAACTTTTATATTATTAATATCTAAGAGAGAAACTCATAAAACAACAGTAGTAATCATGTTAAATGTGAGCTATTTAATAATCACCACTCTGCATGTGGGCATTCACATTCCTTTTTAAAAAATATATATTTTATTGGTTTTCTACAGAGAGACAGAGAGAGGAATAGAGAGAAACATCAATGAAAGAGAAACATCGATGGATCAGCTGCCTCCTGCACACCTCCTATTGGGGATGTGCCCGCAACCAGAATCGAACCTGGGACCCTTCAGTCCGCAGATCGACGCTCTATCCACTGAGCCAAACCCGTTAGGCCCAGATTTCTTTATTTAAACTACTGAAACGGCTATATTGAAACAGTTGTTCAAAGTTACACAACTGGAAAGCCTCAGCTTCATGGCTGGATGACATAAAAACAACTGCAGGCGGCGTTTTCTTTCCGTTAGTACTCTACACTCGCTCGCCCATTTGCTTTTCACGATCTGTGAGGTGAGCGCCCTCCTGGCGTCCCCTTTGCAGAGCAAGGCCCCGAGGCCCAGAAAGCTGAGGCCCTCGTGGGCTCTCACCGCGGGGCAGACGCTGGGAGCAGGCAGCGCCCGGTGCCGGTGCCGGTGCCGGTAGCCTGAGGCCCGCGCCGGCCCTCCCGCGACCCTCGCGTGCCCCAACCCGCGCACCGGACGCGCCGGGTCGCTGTGCGGGGACAATGGTAGCCGCCCTCACGGGAACTGCACCGCGCGTCTTCCCAGCGTCCAGGACGGAGAAGTTCGCCTGGCCCGACACTAGCACGGAGTGGACCACGAGCGGAGCCCACAGCTAAGCGACATTTCTCAGAACGCTCCGCGCCGCAAACACTAGTACCGGTGCTGCGCCCGGCGCCTCCAGCAAAACCACACTTCCCAGAAGTCTCCGCGGCCGCGCGCGGCCTCCGCGCCCCGCGAGAACACGGCCCGGCCAGCGTAGGGCGGCGGGGCCCGCACGCAGAGAGAGGGGAAGACGGGAGCCTCTGGGGGACCCGCCGCCCGCCGCCCGCCGCCCGCCGCGTTGTAAGAATCACCGCGTGCGAGTCACAAAACTGCGCTTCCCAGAAAAGGATGCGGGCGGAAGGTCTTCGGTCTTCGCACGTGGGTTCTGCCCGGACGTGGGCAGTCCCTTAGGCTATCAAGTCCTTCCCCCGGACAGGAGCTGGCCTCCTTCGGACACGATCCTTCTGACGTGCTTAGATATCTGGAATAGTTCACTTTTTAAAAACCATCTCTTCTCCCAAAACTCCCTCCAGCAAATGTTCCACGTCTATTCTCAGTAGAAAAACTTATTGACATTTTATTCTAAGTTAATTTTCTTTAATTTTAAATTTACAGTCTCTCCATAACTGTGTCTTATCAGGAAACATGCCTATTACTTCCCTGAGGCTGCTTTTCTCTAGGTCAGTGTGATCTCATCACTAAATATGAAAGACACTTTTTTTCTTGACCTCTTAGCATTTGCTATAACTGACCATTTTTCATCAGTCTCTTCTCATGGTTCTATGATACTCCATTTTTCTTAAATTTCATCTTGATGGCTGCTGCTTCTGTTTCCTTTGCTTGTTCTTCATCTTTTTTGAGCTCTAAATGGATGTGCTTCCCCTAGCAGGTTTGACTCGGGGGATAGAGCATCAGCCCATGGACTGAAGGGCCACATGTTCCATTCCAATCAAGGGTACATGGGTTGTGGGCTCCACCCATGTGGGGTGTGCAGAAAGCTGCCAATCAATGATTCTCTCTCATTATTGATGTTTCTATCTCTCTCCCTCTCCCTTCCTCTCTGAAATCAATAAAAAATATTAAATAAACAAAAATGAGTGTGCTTATTTTTGTTTGTTTTTGTTTTTGGTGGGTTTTTTTTTGTTTGTTTGTTTTTTGTTAATCCTCCCCCACGGATATTTTTCCATTATTTTTTTTTTAATATATTTTATTGATTTTGTACAGAGAGGAAGGGAGAGAGATAGAGAGCCAGAAACATCGATGAGAGAGAGTCATCGATCAGCCGCCTCTTGCACACCCCCTACTGGGGATATGCCCGCAACCAAGGTACATGCCCCTGACCGGAATCGAACCTGGGACCCTTCAGCCCCCAAGCCGACGCTCTATCCATTGAGCCAAACCGGTCCCGGCCCATTATTTTTTTTTTTTTTCTTTTGTTAAGAGTGAAATGTAGGGAAAGAAAGAGAGAAACCTCGATGTGAAAGAGACACATCTATTGGTTGCCTTCTTCCCTGTCCAATCAGGACAGGATCGAGCCTGCAACCAAATTGCATGCACTTGACAGGAATCGAACCTGGGACCCTTCAGTATGCAGGGTGAAGCTCTATTCACTGAGCCAAACCGGCGAGGGCTTGAGCTGTAAATGTTAAAGGGACCCAGGACTTGATACTTGGCCTCCATTTTTTATATTTTCTACATGTTTTCACTTTTGCATTTTTATGTGTTTATGAATCATTTTTAAAGATAACTCTCAAGTCTTTATAGTCCAGTCTGGACTCTCTCTGGAACTCAATTCATATATCTAGTTCTTTATCTCCCAGCTCACGTGGTTGTTCATTGTCAAACTGCACAAGTTTCATGAGACTCACACAGGCCTTGTCTCCTTATTCCCATCCTCTTTCAAGCTCCCACAAATTAGTAAATCGAACCCCTATTACCGAGGTGGGCAAACTGTGGATCAAAAGCCACAGGCGGCTCTTTGGCCTCTTGAGTGTGGCTCTTCCACAAAATACCACAGCCTGGATGAGTCAGTTTTGAAGAAGTGGTGTTAGAAGAAGTTTAAGTGTAAAAAATTTGGCTTTCAAAAGACATTTCAATCGTCATACTGTGTATATTTGGCTCTGTTGACTAATGAGTTTGCCTGTTAGATAAAGCTGAACATCCAGACATTTCTCTTTACTGGTATTTCTCTTTTGTCCTCACCCTCCCCACATGTAACAGATTGTACTGTTTTCAATCTGACTCAAAGTAATTAGCCATCAGGCTTCGTTTATTTATATCCAGTTCTCACATTAAAAACTGCAATTGCTGAGGAAACGCCATACTGTTTCCACAGTGGCTGCACCTGTCCTCATTCCCACCAGCAGTGCAAAAGGATTCTTTTTCTCTGCATCCTCGCTAGCACTTGTCCTTTGTCAGTTTGTTGATGATAGCCATTCTGACAGGTGTGAGATGGTACCTCATTGTTGTTTTGATTTGCCTCTCTGGGATGATTAGTGACTTTGAGCATGAATACTAGTGTGACAGTGCACAATTTTGCTTCTTAATTTTCACTAGAAAGTATGGTTTTAAAAGGTTAAAAATTCTGTTATATATAACTAAAGCTACAAAAATTAATAGAAAAAGCAACTGTGTATACAAGAGAAGTAAGTTATGTTTTGGCTTTTTAAAAAGTTATGAGATATGCAAGTGTGAAATGAAATAATTTTGTTCTGATTCTGAATGGCAAGAGGGCAAGAGGCAAACTCGGAGGACCACAGAATATTGTATAAAGTTTATGTAAAATGAATTAAGAAAGGAAAATTTATGTTTGATCAAATTGTATAAGATTGCGTGAATGTATACGTTTTTAAAATTAAGCTTTAATATCAATAGTGTACTAAAAAACATTCTTTTATTTGTTAAAAGAACAAAATTTTCTTGGACTAATAGTCTGTTACTGATAAGATATTATAAAAATGTTCTGTGCCTAGAAAGGAAAGATTCTGCATTTATCATAATTTTCTAGGTGTTTTGTTGTTGAGGTGATGGTGATGGTGGTGGTGTCTTAATCAAGTCCTTGATTACTTAAGAAAGCTGGTGCTTGAGCGTTGACCTATGAACCAGGCCACAGTTCGATTCCTGGTCAGGGCACATGCCTGAATTGTGGGCTTGATCCCTAATAGGGGGCATGCAGGAGGCAGTCAATCGATTATTCTCTCCCATCATTGATGTTTCTATCTCTCTCTCCATCTCCCTTCCTCTCTAAAATCAATCAATCAATCAATCAATCAATCAATATATTCTATCTAATAAAAGAGAAACATGCAGCTGAAACCGGTTTGTTTCGACCTGCAGACTGAAAGGTCCCAGGTTCGATTCCGATCAAGAACTTGTACCTTGGTTGTGGGCACACGGTTAATGTTTCTCTCTCATCAATGTTTCTAGTTCTCTATCCCTCTTCCTTCCTCTCTGTAAAAAAAATCAATAAAATATATTTTAAGAGAGAGAGAGACAGAGAGAGAGAGAGAGAGACATGTAAATTGACTGTACCTTTGCTATGCCCACAAGCATGCCCACCAGCCAATCAGGGTGAGTATGCAAATTAACCCAACCAAGATGACAGTTAATTTGCATATCTAGACCAGAAGAGAAGACTGAAGACAGCGTAGAAAGAAGCCAAGCACTGCAGAAGGGAGCAAAACTTCGGAAAAGCAAGCAAGCAGGGCGGGGAGAAGGGAGGAAAGCAGGCGGGCCAGGCAGCGACCACAGCAGGAAGCCCTATTGCAGGAATTTTCTTGCAATGAGCCTCTAGTGTGTGTGTAAATATATATATGCAGGAGGCAGTCAACTTATATATATATATATATATATATATATAAGTTGAATGTAAAAACTCAGCTTTGCTAACAATTATGTAACCTTCTGTATTCATCTTTGAAGTCTTTTTTTGTGTAAATCGGTTCATTTCCCCCATTAATATGTTTGCCATTGCTTATTTGCATATGCTAGCAGATTACAAGTAGTAAACATGTACAGGAAAATAATTACAACTCTTCAACTGTGAAGAGTTGTCCATCTTAACATTTTCCTTCCTGTGTAGTGGGATTGCTCCTTCTGCTTGGTTTGTGCTGGGAGTAGTAAGCCTGGAGCACCTGGACTCACAATCTCCTTCAATGTTTTGTTACTTTAGTTAAATAGCTAAGTATCCTCCTATATAATAAAGAGGTGTTATGCAAATTGACGATCATACACTCACATAAGATGGCCGCCCCCATGCGGTCACAAGATAGCCACACTCATATCATCACAAGATGGCTGCCCCCATGTGATGTCAAAAGTATTCTTATTTTCATGGCAGTCGGACATCCCCCAAGAGGTTCCCAGGTTGGAGAGGGTGCAGGCTGGGCTGAGGGACACACACACACACACACACACACACACACACACAAAAAAAAACAACAAAAAAAAAAAAACAACAAAAAAAAAAAACACCAGTGCACAAATTTCATGAACTGGGCCTCTAGTTGTTTTATAATTTGTTGGAATCATTGTCCCCATCACCCTGTTATCAGACAAAGGTAAGAAAAGGAATGGAAAAACTGGATACAAGCAGTCATTTGAATTATATGCTACTGAGCGAATTGAGGGATGATTATAATTTTATGAATTTTTGTTTAAAATATTGCTGATTCTTTTCCCCCTTAAAAAATAATTTGTCTTAATTGTTTAAAAGTATTAGAGATGTCCCCTTTTCCTTCCCCTCAGTGTCCCCCTCTACCCAGCTCCTGCCCCACCCAGGCCTTTACCACACTATTGTCTGTGTCTATGGTCAATGCATATATGCATGTAAGTTCTTTGGTTATATTTTTGTTGTTGCTGTTTGTTTATTTCCAGATGTGAGGAAATGTTTTTTTGTTTTCTCTTAGACTATGTATTATATGACTTAGAGCAATTTGGTAAATGATACCTTTGAAAGCAGCATTGAAATACTTATTCCCCCAACTTGATTCCTTCAGAATTTGGAAACTTTTAGTCAATAAGTATTCTTACTTTCTTTTTTTCTTTTTCATTTTTTTTATTTATAAATCTATTGTTCATATTATTACAGATGTTCCTCTCCCCCCCAATCCATTGCTCCCCTCCACCAGGTTCCCACCCCACCCTCTGCCCTTTCCCGACCCCCCGTTGTCCTCATCCATAGGTGCACAGTTTATGTTCAGTCTCTTCTCACATCCCCCTCTCCCCTTTTCCCCAAGAATTGTCAGATCACTCCCCTTCCATAACTCTAATTCTATTATTTTCAACAGTTCATATTGTTCATCAGATTTTTTTTTAATTTTTTTGGTTTTTAGATTCACTTGTTGATAGTTACATATTTGTTGTTCATAGTTTTTATCTTTATTTACTTTCTCTTCCAAAAGAACCCCCTTCAGCAATTCATATAATTCTGGTTTGGTGGTGATGAACTCCTTTAGCTTTTTTTTTTTTTTATATTGGTGAAGCTCTTTATCTGGCCTTTGATTCTGAGTGATAGCTTTGCTGGGTAGATTATTT